TTCCACTTAGAAGTTCTAACAGTTCACTAGTATTATGGTAATTGAGGTACCTTTTGGGGGGTTTTATGATCATTTTCCCTAATAAAACCCACTTATTTCTTTTATAAAATGCCTTACAATAAAGATGTGAAAGAGTATTTAAAAAAAAAAAAACGTAAAAAGTACTTGAAATGACTCAACACTTTAGACTCTCTTCTAATTTTCACAAGACAAGAGATGTGTGTGTGTAAGGTACAAGAAGAAAATTAAAGTCTACACAAAATAAGATTCATTGTATGTCGCTTTTCCCCGATTATCTTCTATTGATGATGCTCTTTGATGTGTGATATTCATTTGTTTGGTAGGATCATGCTTTGTTTTATCCCTTTGGTTAATTATTCTTGGGCTGATGTAACGTTTTATTATTGGTTAAGGTTTAATTTTGTATGAAAGAATTATGTATTAAAATTTATTTAATTTAGGAAATCATACACCTTTCAGTCTGGGTAAAGTAGTAAACATGTTACATTAACGAGCTGTTAAGACTTAGATGAGAGGACAGTAAGTTAGAAATGGATTCTCAAATGGTCATCAAGTAATTTAGAGGCTGTTCCTTTAATTTCCTCTAGAAAAAGTTATTTTAATTAAATTAAAACTTTTTTTGGTTTTAATTCTTTGTTTAAGCTTTTGAAAATGATCACTTTTAGGGAAAAATAATCTCTTTTTAGTTCATTTTAATAACCATTCGGACTAGCTGTTTAATATCTCCGTACATCACTTTCTTAAAAAAAATGCTTTTTACGTCCTCTGTTATTGTTTAACTAATTTATGATTTGAGCTAAACAATCACTGCTCTTCTATGTAATTCAAAAATCATTTTTCCAAGGTTAAATAAAAACAGGATCCTAATTAAAAAAATAATCGATACTCATCAAATTCAATATTGGCGTTATATATTTGATAACGTTTAGATGACATTAAATACTAACTTAAGTCTTAATTATAAGACTTTATTTGTAGCTTATAAACGAGATCTTATAATTAGAATTGGAGGTAGTAGTAGCATAAAAAATTTGCGTAATATTGGTTGTTGTATATGTTATGAATATTTTTAGCCAAAAAATTAAAGTATATGTTACTAATATTTATATCATGCTTATTGCTTGAACCATCAAGTTAAATATGAAATTAGACTTGCTTATGTAGATTTTTCTTATTTAATGAGAAGACGAGTCGAAGAATTAGATGAAGAAAGGGGAAAGAAGAGGAATTTTGGAAAGATCTTGCTTAAGAAATGTAAGAAAAAGGAAGTCTAAGAAAAAGAGTTTAATTAAAAAGGTCCATTCTTTGTGTTCTTCGACTTTTATACGCTCTTACATCTATTATAAAAGAGCAAGTTGATGAATTTCTCAAGTGTTAAAAATGTTTTTCTAAATGTTTTTGAGCCAAGAATTGACTAGTAATTATTCTAGAGGCTTGGTCTTTGTTTTTGACTTTTTTGAGTCAAGTATGAAAGCAAATTTTGGCCAAAAATATGAAAAATTAAAAAAAATTTATAAAGTGAGAAAAGAAGATTTACAATGAGCTAACTCATTTTCTCTCTGTTTTTTTTTTTAATTGAGATCTTCGATGTGATGTCTTACTCTTTGAGAGAGTCTTTCCATTGTATTCACTTCATCTTTTGAGAAAGATTTCTAAGAGGGATGTATTCTAGAGTGATCGTTGAAGCTTGGGAATCTTTAAAGAAACTAGATGAAAGCGAAGTGATGCTTCGGTTGAACCAATATAAAGATGGGAATCTATTTTTTATAATCAAGATTTAATTTTTTATATTTATGTTTTTTTAAATTTTTTTCCTTTAATAGGTAATAATCCAAAACAAATGTAATTTTTTAACTGTAAGTTTTTTTAAAATGATTTTTTATTTAAAAATAATTAGTTGTAAATTTTAAATATAGACCATTAAAATTATATCTGAATGGTGTAGATTTCGCCACAATAATAAGTATCATGATGAGCATCAAAACTGATTCCTATAAAAATAAGCACCTAAAATTCATTATTTTAAATCATCCAGATCTAATATGGACGAGAAGAATAAAAAAAGATAAGTTTGGAGTACTCATTAAACCCGTTCCCTTCTTGTAAGTTATTGGGTAATTTGTTATTAAAAACGCAAAATTTTTACAACATTCAATGCAACCCTATCAAGTGATAAGGCACCCTAACATATAAACGATTGAAGGCGTCATTCTAATTTATAATTGAAAGGCTCCACCCAATAGGAAAATTTTACAAATTCAATGGACGGTATTTGTTATCTTATTATTTCAGTAAAATTAATTATGGATGATGCACAAGCATGCATGAATAGTTTCAATTCTTAATTCTTGATACATATACAAGTCAACTGATCTTCCTAATCGTACATCTACATTTTTGGGTTTATTAATATTTGATCCATTCAATTAAGATACAATCTCACTCTTCTATCCCACAGTAGCTAGCTTTTTGCAGCAAAAAGTATGATCTCGAATTTTCCCAAGCAGACAAGATCTTATAACAATAATGCTTGGAATGTTATATTTGTCAAATTTTCATAATTTATTTTAATTCACTGCATACAAATCATTCTAATAAGTTATTAAAATCGATTAGTGGACTAAAAGTTACTTTTCATGACCATCGAATCCAAAGCACACAGGGTCTTGTTGGAGTCAAATACTCCTATAAATAATTAAAAGTTCAAGTGGAAATTGGCTTTTGTGTGAGGAAAACCAAACAAAAAATGGGCATGAACGCGGGATAGATACTGTACATGATTAATTACTTTTTGGATATCTGATAGAAAATAGAGAAAATAAGAAAAAATATTCCATTGAATTTATATTAAACTCAAGAATTTGACAATTAACATTTAAATTTAAGTAAAATATTTTTTTATGGAATTGAAAATAGTGAAAATTAAAATGAGGGACCTGGTGGAAATGATTTTTATTTTAAAGGACTAAATATCAAAATAGAAATTTAAAAATACTAAATTGCCCATAAACCCTAACCAAACTCCCAATATTTCCTCTAACCCCATCCATTTAACGGTTATTGAAACGTTAACAAGGGAAGACATAAATCTTTGTGAACTTTTGTGGCCAAACTAGCGTGTTAAATTTCATAACAGGAACACCATGGGTCAAAAAATATATATTACATCCAATCCTTAACATGAAACTTCCTCCAATCCTTAATATAAAATTTAGTTGACTAATTTGGAGAGATTAAAGAAATTGGTTAAGTTAATTATTTGTCATAAATAAGTGCTTTCTTTTCTAAAGTATCCTTGTTAGTCATGTAGATTAACTAGAATTACCATTTGATGAAACTTTTAACATGTATAACTACTACAAGGACTATTTTAAAAAATAAATAAATATGCAAGAGAAAATGAATTAGATTCTTATATTTAGGACCAAATTAAAGATTAAACAAGTTATTATAATTAAGAACGAAGGTAGTTTCCAGTTTGTAGTGTGTAGTAGGAAATGGAAATAACTATAAACAGGTTATTGCCGGGGCCCATAATTTATCGTGAAATCTCGCCACCCAAAAATCAAAATTGAAACAAAAATTAACTACAAATCAGATGGATTGATTGCTTGCGTAGTAGGTGCTAGAATTATCGTTGAAAGATTCCAGAGAGTCATGATATGCGTTACTTAGGGTGCAAAGTTTTCACTCATAAAAACTTGTGGAGTAAATTTGCATTTTAATCCTCTCGGGACAAGTTCATAGAGATTTTTTTTTTTAAATCTCTGTCAGATCAAGAGCATTAAGTTTAAAGTTCTCTCAAAATATGAGATTTTCAGAATTTAAACTTATATTCTCCTTTTTATGGGGTGAAACTGCTTATCAACTCAACTAACAGTTTATTGGTGATTTTTATCTTTGTTTTATAATTATATAACTGTTTTGTGAAAAATGTGTTGAAGCGTAGGAACAACTTAGTATTTTAAAATTTATATCTTACTATTTTATCTTTCTAAATAATTGCAATTTTAAGGTCCTCTTTAATAAATATTGTTTCCTCAAGGTTCCTTAATTTTAATTTTCCCTTGAAAATAACAGTTCACTTTCTTCGGATTAAGACCCCCCCAGCATGTTTTATAATAATTGACTATTTGCAAATATTAAATAAATAACTATTTTCTAAATGAAAAAATAAATTTAAGAAAAAGTAATTGTTAAATTTTAGTTGACTATTTGCAAATATTAAATAATAATGGACTATTTGCAAATTATTTTTACTCTCATTGCTTTGATACTAAAAATAGGAAAATGAAGTAATTTTAGTTGCCAATGTGAAGACATAAATAAATATTAATATCTTATATTTAAAAATATGAAATTTTAATCACATAAGAAATTGAATTTCTCCAAAGACAAATAAAAAAGAAAGTGGTAAAGGAAGGTAAAGAAGACTAATTAATTAACAAAATGACATATTTAATATTCAGAAAACTTAAAACGAAAAAGTATACACTTGATTGTTTTTTAAATTGTATTGTACCCTTGAATTTAAAAATTATATTTTTAGTTCTTTAATCCTAAAATTGTTAATTTAATATAATTATGGTTGTTTTGAAAATTAAATTTAATATATTATTATTCAAAAATGTTTTATCAACATTCAAAAAAAAATCCCAATATTACCAGTTTTTGTTAATGGTTTTATGATTAAATGATTAAAAATATACTTTTTAAAATTAAAAGATTAAATTAAAACCTTATATAAAATTAAATGACTTAAAATACATTTTAACCCCTTCTTTTATCATCCTACATGTTAGTGGACTGCTCTTTCTGTCTGTCTTCCCATGTTAGTGGGCTCCTCTAAGAGCCCGGTTGGTTCAAGGAAAATTGGGCGATGGAAATGAAAAATCTAAATTTTCCATTAGCAGCGGCCACCGTATGGTTCGAAAATTGGTGGGAAAGTATTCTCGGGGTGGGAGGATTTTCCTTCAAACAAATGAAATTATCTTCCCACCAAAATTGGTGGGAATTAATTTTCAATCCCCCACCAAAGGCTACTTTATCCCTGAAAGTACACATGGTCTCAACCTGCAGGAAGTTGGAACATCTTCTGGTCGGAACTGAAAAATGTGTGTGACGTTAATGGCCTGTAGCTTAGGAGTATGCAATGGCGAAATGAGAATGCCTGCGTTAAGTCCTATTCTTATTAGCCAGTTTAGTATCCTTTGAATATACCTGCAGGGACCAAAGAAAACTTCTCTTTAAACATTCTGCAATCAATAGAAGGCGTTCAATTCTACAAGGTCATTGTTTCTAAAGAAAAAGAAACGTTCTTGGGGTTTTTTTTTTGAGATAATTTATTATTTTTTATGTTATTCATAATCATATAATTCTTCAATTGTTTCTTCAATATTCAATTTTAATAAATTTTATTTTCATATCAATATAATTAGTATTATTATCTATAACTTATAAACAATAATAGTATTTATATTGGGCATAAAATTTTCTCTCAAACTAATTTTTCTAATCGGTTTCCTTGGAGAGTTTATTGCTGCATGCCAACATATTAACTGAGGTCACCCCTTTCTCTTTGTTTGGGCTTCTTCCTCTTATACCAAATGTGGCCTAAATATTTATCATCATAATTTCGCTTATTAATAAACCCTCACAAATTACAACTATACTACTCCTCTAATCTTAAATATAATACTTAGTATAGCGGTTTATTTTTCATATTAAATGTAAGATTTTAATTCACTTTGTCTTCAGAATTTATAATTTTTTTTTCAAATTATTCCTATTAATTAATTACACTCATGAAAGGTTTGTATCATGGGTAGTTTTTAATGTAAATAATTAAAGGAGTATTTTATAAAATTAATATATATTTATTATAAATAACTAACTTAACGAATTTTTTTATTTCTTACAAATTAGTTATTTGGCTCCGGAGGAGTATAATTTAACTGTGGCGTTTACTAACAGTAACTAAAGCACAATTTAGCTTTGAACTTTCCAATACATAGAAGCTTTTACAACTTTAGTAATTGCAGTTAAACCCACACTTACAAATATAAGAAACAGTTAATAATACAAATAACTATTAAGAATATTACGACTTCCATAGTCCAACACTTAAGTTTTATCTGAATGGCAAGAAAAAAACTTAAATTTTATCAAATGAATTTAATAAAAGTTACGGATTAAAAATAAGCCAACCCACTTAAACTTATGTGATAAACTAAAAACACAAAAACTACCGAATGAAAAAGAAAAAGGATTTGCTTAGTGTTTTTTTCCCCCCAAAATCAACCTTATAAATTTCTTCTAAGCTACTAAAATCTCCTTAGTTTCTGGTAGGATGCAGAAGAACTATTGAGAAAGACAACATCTCTGTTGGGCAAAAATAAAATAAAATAAAATAAAAAGACAACATCTCAATCTCAATCTCAATTTCCAAGGTTTTGATCAATGAGTATTTAGACTTTTGTTAACAAGTTGAGGAATGTGTGTGTGTGTGTGTGTGGATGGAACCTATCAATACTAGGAATATTTTCCAAATGTAACAAATAAATTCTTACTACATATAATTAATAGAATATTATGCAGCAACATATATAGAATTCAATTAGACACAAAATTTATTAATACTATCTCGTCCTTAATATAAGAGTTAGATGACTAACTCAGAAAGATTAAGAAAATTGGTTAATTTGGTGAAGTATAATAATTATGTGTTGATTTTCTTAAATTATCATCTTTATTTATGTGCATTAAAACTGTCCCTTGATGGGAACCCCGGTCCCTACGGTCAATATGGAATTTTAGAGAAAATATTACAAATTTTAGAGACAAAGTGGATTGAGATATTATATTTTGGATCGATTAGTTCTTATATTAAGGACTGAAGGTAGTATGTAAAAACATTGCCGACACTCATGTTGTTGATATTTTCTGTTGTAATGTCAATTTGGTACAGTGTAGGCTACCAAGTTTTTTGGCTGGGAATTTGATGCCACATCAACAGAGAGCTCCACCGAGAAAGAAGGATGCTCAAGGATTCTCTTTTATCAAATATTATCGTTCATTAATTATGTTTATTATGCAAAATGTTTAGTAGGCAAAGAAATAGATATACATATACATATATATATATAGGAGAGTACGAAAATGACAATTAATTATGTATTACTTTTTATCTTTAATATAAGAGCTATTTGACTAATTTGAGTAGATTAAAAAAATTATTTAAGTTGCTTATTTGTTATAAATATGTGTTGTCTTCCCTAAAATACCTTCGCCAATCAAGTATCATTTGATGAAACATTTAACATGTACAACTATTACAAGGACTACCTTAAGAAAAATGGATAAATATAAAAGACAAAGTGGATTGATGTTTTATATTTAGGACCTAAAATGAAAGTCAAACTAGTTTTTATATTAAGGACTAGAGGTAGTAATAATATTCTAGTTTTTACTTTAGCAAATAAAAAAATATTATTAAATAGAAATATTATAGCCTTGGCATAAATTAGGAGGATCGGAATAGTTTGAGACGAATATGATAATTTCATTTCTTTTTAAAACCGCAAATTGCTAAATTTTAATTTAATACATTTGGTTCTTTCAGGTTAAATGCAATAACATAAGTTGCATGTTTTCTGCACCACTTGAGAGTTAAATTTCGGAATGTCACTATTAAATCATTGCATGTATGAGAAATAGTAGGTTTTTGGATACATGCAAATTAAATGTGGGAAGATGAATGACAAATTCTTTAGACTTGAGATATTCGATTGCGGATATTTAGCATCAAATCCCTACACTCATAAAATGTCTCACTTCATTGATTTACGTACTAAACATATGTCTCGGAATTGAACTTTATAATATCTAATTTCCTAGTGTTCCTTATACCTCATTATCTCAGTAGCTCAGTGATACAGCACTCTGCTGTTAATTCAGAATAAAGGAGTTTTCTTTGACCATTGAGAGTAGTTATAAGCAACCCGTTACTTGTGTCTTTGGTTCTTTACCCTAGCCTATATCCCTCTTATACTTCATCAACATTAATTCCTTGAGAACAGAAAAGTGAGCTTTTTTGGCGTACCAAAAATGTAAAATCCACACACACACACACACACACACACACACAATAGCTATAAAACTTCCATGAACCTTTGAATCGTGTAAAAATAACCCCCTTAACAATTAAAACTTAATAATAAACCAACAGGGATTGGGTCTAGTAGAAGGGGCTAGTCTCTTATAACATAGCGAACCAAGGTTCAAATCCTTATTGGGAGAGGTGTCCATATTTAGTACCTGACAGTGTCTCGAATAAGATTGCCTCCAATAGGAGAATACCTATACTTTAGCAAAAAAAAAAAAAAAGAAAGAAAAAGAACTTAATAATAAATCTCTTTGAGTTTTGAAGTTTGTGCGAATGACTCCAATTATCAATTATGTGCCCTTTACTTTTATATAGATATAACACTATTAAATTTTGAATTGTATGCAGATAACCCCCCAAATTTTAAGCTATAGACAAATTAATAATGAGTAAAACTAATTATACAAGAGTTATATGAATGTACATAAAAGTCTAGGGGAGTTCCTTATAAAGTTTCAAATCTCAAGAAAATTATTTGTACATGATATAAAATTCAAGGGAATTATGTGTAATTTAGCCCCCCCCCCACACACACATATAATTAACTGAGCATCTTAACAAATTAACTGTCTCATCAGTGTTGTCCATGCATGTTTGGAATCGTTTGACTTCCTTGAGGTTTTAATTTCTTCCCATGGAATGATGAGCAACACAGCTGCGTTTTTATTCCATGAGCCGCAAAGATTGAAGATTGTAAATAGTGAGCATGGGCTTCCATTCGATGAAGCCTCAAAAGCATATATGCTTATCGTTGTGTTCAAACTAAACCTTCTATTTATATTTACTTATCTATTTATTTATTTTCGTTTCGAATGAAAAAAGATTAGGAAAAATCACAAAAAAGACCACTAAAATAGAAAAATCACACACATGGATCCGTTCACAAAAATTGTTATCAAAACTCATATTATTGTTGTCAAAACCCATACTCATGTTGTCATAAGTCCTAATTTGCAATTTTTCTATTTCGGCGGTCTTTTTTTGCCATTTTTCCAAAAGATTAAGATGCATTCAGTATCTTAAAGTATTTTGTCAAGCATATCCAGCATTCTAAAGTATTTTGTAGTTTATTCAACATCTTGAAGTATTTTTTTAGGTATGTTCAACGTCCTAAATTATATTTTGCTGCATACAATATACTAAAGTATTTTTTTAGATGCATTCAATACTACAACTTATTTTTTTGGTGCATCTAAAACCCTAAATTGTTGAGTGTAAAATTGCACTAAAATATATTTTAGGGTACTTTATAATAAAATCCAACATAATATTATTTTTTTAATCTATTTGAAATTACAACAAAATACTCATCTTTAAAATAAACTAAGACCGTTCTTTATGTCATCTGGCCCCTTGATGAGAAAAAAGTAACAAGAAAAAGATCACTCCATGAAAAATGGAAAGAGAAGCAAATAATATCCACTCTACTTAAAGCGAAGTTAGTAAGAGGTTTATTTTTTACTAGTGTGAGTTTGATGTGATGGATGATAATTTTTTATTGGCCTTAACTCAGGCTGCCATAATACCCTTCACAAAGGGTTTGGAGTCATCACAACCTTACACTTAAAAAAGACTTACGAGAATCAAACGGAGTTGGATCTAATACAAAGGGTCAGTTTCTTATGATATGGTGAATCAACGTTCGAATTCTTATTGTAAAAAGTATCCACATTTAGTGCTAAACAATGCCTTAAGCAGGATTACCTCCAATAAAAAGATACTTGTGCCTAGTGCAAAAAAAAAAAAAAAAAGGGAAGAAGAAAAACTTAAGAGAAGCGCTTCGTGAAAATTACTAACGAGGGTATGATTTCAAAGTCTTCTTAACT